ATCGATCGCCGAGGAGCTCACGGCACCGGAGATACGGGCGGATGGAAGCTTCGCCCCTCGCTCATCGCTGTGACAAAGCTGCGGGGACCTCGGGTGCTTTTATGAGGACGAGCACTGGGAAACTCGCGGCACCTCCGGAGAGGAGGGATCGGCTCCTGCCCGGGGACAGGACCCCCGAGGGGTTGTTGGGGTGTGGAGGGGCTGTCGAGGGTCCGGGGGTTGCTCCGCCCTCGGCAAACACCGGCCTGGACGGCACCATCGGGAATATCCCGCGGCGATCCTGGTGCTCCTAGAACTGTTGTCTGCAGCCCGTGGTGGCTTGGGGGGGCTGCTCTGGGTTTGGAGGTTCCTGGTAGCGCTGTTATCACAGACACGGCCTCGCCGATTCGGGTCCGGGGGTTCCGCAGGGACCCCGAGCTTTGTCCCCCTCCTGTGAGGGACCGATCGCCTGGCGGGCTCGAGCGTGGGGCTGAGGTGTGAGGAAGGACAACGCTCCGTGAGGCTGGTGGCCATCGCGGCCCTCTGCCAGAGACCCTCCTCTTGCTGTGAGGCAGGTGAAGCCTCTCCCACCCCGGGCGTTTAAGGTCCAGCTCCACGTCCCCAAACCCAGCAGCGGGCGCGTGGGACCGGGCGAGACCTGGCTGAGGTTTTGTCACAGCACGGGGACAGCAGATGCTGCCAGGAGGGTCCTGCAGCGGCTCTCGGGGACAGGAGCCCACCCAAATGTTCAGGCAGGCTTTGCCTCTCGCTGCCCCCTCGAGCTGGGGGGGCTGACACCCACCAAGGGCACCCTGAGGGGTGGATGGGAGAGGGGCTGGGCCCCAACTCTCAGCTGGTGCCAACTGGGGGTTCAGGCAACCACGTTGCCACCGAAGCCTGCTGAAAATTGGTGTGGTGCTGCAAAGTGCTAACGAGGAGGGTGCGCGGGGTGGAGGTGTGGGTTGGGGGGGCTGCGGCTCACGTTGAGTGTAGAGAGGGGTCAGCTGGGGGGAGGCAGCACCCAGCTTGGCTCTGAGGAGCCCCGGGGACGCCTTTGCCTGCGGGGAGAGGCAGGACCAGGCCCCGGGGCTGGCTCAGCCCTTGGCGCGCAGCGGCACTTCCCCAGGGGGTTGCAGGTCGCTCCCCGCACGCATAGAGCCCTCGGAGCAGCGGCGGCTGAGCACTGCCTGTTTCCCGGGCCCCTGTGCACCAGGAGCTGCTTCCCCAGGACTGGGGCAACGGGATCGGGAATGGCCAGGGCTGGGCTGCCGCGCTAGCTCCGGGGGAATGCGGCTCTTGGAGTTTCCCCCTTTCCACCTGCGGTGCTGGGGAGGGGACAGGCTCCCCAGGGGTCTCTGTGGCCAGGCAGTGGCGGCTCCTGTTTTTTTGAGCAAGTGGCTCTTCACGGACAGCCTGAAGCCTCAGTCCCGGTGCCCCTCGTTGTTCTGATTTACCGCGGCCGCTGCCTGTCAAGTGTGCTGCCTCTGCTCACCGTCCCTCGTGCCACCGGCGCTGCCGGGAGCCAGCACGTAAGGTGCCTGGCAGGGTGACCTTTCTGAGCGTAGATATGGGCTGGGATTAGCCCTGGAAGATGCTTTAGGGAAAGCTGCAGGTCGGCACAAGGACAGCTCGCTGCAGAGCTCCGCGCTGTGGCCTTGCTGCGGGATCACGGCAACGTCTGGGCACGCTCAGAAACCAAACGGTCTCGGCCCTGTGAGTGTGACGGGGCCTGTCCAGTGGTTTGCTGAAGTCTTTGGATCATTTCATGGGGTTTTTTTGGAGTGAGGTTTAGTGTCTGACTTAATATTTACGGTTTTTGTTTTAAAAGCACCTCTCCCCGCTAGGGAGCTCGGACGCGTGTTAGCGTCTGGTGAAACACCCGCGGTCGGTGTCTCTAAAAGGCCCCGTCCTTCACGCTCTCCAGATGTTCTCGCTCCTGGTGCAGCGTTTGGTGCAAAGGCTGCAACTCTCAGAAGAGGTGACATGAGAATTAGCTGTTGAAGTCGTCATGTGAGCTGAGAAGACACATTAATAGGAAGTCGGGGGCGCGGGAGGAAAGGAGAAGCAATGTCACAAGATGGAAAGGCTTCTTACTGTAAGACATGTCATTAACATGCAAACATGTGCTAATGAGAAGCTTGTGATTTGAATCTGAAAGCTGAGAGTGGAAAAGGGTGACACTGGGGTGGGAGTGACACTGGGGAGGGTGACGCTGGAGCTTTGCAGGGGCTGCTCTGGCCTTTCACAGGGCCGGGCTGGGCCTTGGCACAGGCCCGGGGTCCGTTTTGGTGCCAGTTGGGGCTGGGCTGGGCTGCGGGTGTTCTGCCGCATGGAGTTCGCTGGGCGTTAGTTGTTGGTGTTGTCTCGGGGCACCCCTGCTCAACGTTTGCTTCCCGCTGGGATTTGCGGGCTCGCTGCTGACGGCAGCATCGCCTTTCGTCCTTGCACCTCTCACCTCCTGCTTCGTCCTCAAAACAGGAGGTTGCACCAGCAAAAAGAAACCAAATCTTTCCTCAGAGTCTTGAGAGCTCCCTCCCCTTTTTGTTTTTTTGGTTTGTTTTTTTTTTTTTAAACCAGAAAAGCTCTGAGGGGTCCCCAGTGCTGGTGCCTCTTCGGGCTGCGTCAGTGTCACCCGGGGTGTCCCTCTGGGCAGCGTGTGCCACTCGTGCTTCCCCTGTAGTGTTGGCTGTCGGGGCTGCGCTGCTCGAGAGCCCCCGAAAGCGGCTCGTGGCTCGGCAGCCGGTGTGGCTCACGCTGCGGAGGATGTCTGAATGCATAATACAACACCGGGGTGCTCAATAATTTATCTGTCACCCAGAAAAAGGCACATTTCTACGTGCTCAGATCCAGCCCCTGCTCTTTCTGCTCTGGGCTTTCTCCTGCCTGAGGGAGCGGTCCCGGGCGAGGGGCCTCATCTGGGCTTAAAATATTTCTGCCAAACCCTGCTCTGTCCCACAGTGCTTGAGGTAAAGCCCTTGTCGCTGGTTCTTTCCCAGAAATTGGTTATTGCTGGTTGTTTTGGGATGGGCGTGCTAATGGAGCTGTGTTAAACCTGGCCGGGAAGGCTGGGCTTTAGGCACGGGTGGGTTTAGGCTGGCTGAGCTTTGTGAGGGCTCGCAGCGGCGGCCGCTCTCTGCCGTGTCCCAGGCTCTGCCGTGGCCCCCTCGGTGTTGGGGGAGCGGGGCCAGCGACTCTCGCAGGGTGATTTTAAAGCGCTGTGAAAGTTGCGGGGGGCTGCCTAAGTGCAAAGTGGTGTTTGAGGGAAGGAGGCGGTGACACCCTGCCGTAGAGGAGGAGGCAGCCCGTGCATGAGGTGATGTATTATTTAGCGCTCACAGATGTCTTTAACTTTTCTCAGTTTGAGACGGGTCCCTCGCTCGGAGCAGCGAGGGGCTGTGGTCGTTGCGGCTGATCCAAAGTGACAAGTCTTCCAGCTCCTTCCGAAGTGCCTCCGAGAGAGACTAACAGGGACTTGACAGGAGTCCAGCTTTGTTCCCTTTCCAGCCCTGCTGCTCCCCAGGGGCTGGAATGCAGAAGCTGCTGGTGCAGGGATCCCAAATCGCCCCAAATCAGGTTTTGCTCAGCTCTGGCAGTTGCCTCAGTGCCCGGTGGGGCTCGGCAGCACCCCTGGCTTTGTGTGCCCCGTGGGCCGCCCCTTCCCACAGGTCTGGGTGCGCTCTCAGGGTGTTTTTCCTCGGATGTTGCAGGCATGATCTATTGTAGACAGAGAACCTCACTCAGATCCTAGAGATGCAGAACTGCTGGGGCAGTAGCTAACGCAGCAAAGAATCTGCTTTTTTTGGAGGCCAAATGTCCTCGAGCAGGAGTGTTTTGCAGAGGAGTTTGTAGCTGCGCCTTTGCCATGGGTGACTCGGAGGTGGCGGAGCCAGGGACTGGCAGATCCCTGGGCTGACCTGTTTTGGCATCCTCTTTCCTTGTTTGTCTCCAGCGTGTTTTAGTTGCACGGGGCATTAACATAGTGGCCTCCTTGTGCGGTGCTGACGGAGAGGAAAAATTTTAATACAATGGTTGGCACGAGCTGTGTGAAAACAGCCTTCAGACCTCAACACCTCGCTCGCGCCGGGGTTGTGTGCCCGGCACTGCCAGCCGCCGCGGCCGGGCCGGAGAGCAACGCTGGCCCCTGCTGCCATCCCGCTGCCCCGCTTGGCCGCAGTCGGGCGTGGAACCCAGCGTCCTGCTCCTGCAGTGAGCCGGCTCCTCCCTCGGCCTGCGGGATGGGATCCGACGGGGTGACGGGCTCCCGAGGTTTGGTGGTTTGTCTCATGCAAAACACGGAGCTCCCGGGAGCTTTGCCTCCGCGCCCCTGCGGGGAGCCTGCTGCAGCTCGGGGTGGCTCCGGGGTCCCGGGGCATGCTCCTTTTCGGAGCAGGGGCCTCCACGGAAACACCCTCAGGCCCATGTTCCTGCTGCCATGGCTCCTCTGGGGGGTTTGCCATCTGCTGCTCCGACCGCTGGCTGTAGCCACCAGCTCGGCTGGCCGTGCTGCGAGTGTGTTCTGGGTGGCTGCCGCTGGGTCCTGGGGACACTTTCTGGTGACCCCCTGTGCCTCTGAGCCTTCCGCAGCTGATTCTTCCTTCCCTGCAGTGAGCACGAGGGAAGGAAAGTCTCTGCCTGTGCTGGTGAACGTGAAGTGCCAGGGTGGGATGGGGCAGTGCTGGGGTGAGCCCTGGGTGTCTTCGCTTCAGAGAGGGAGGCTCTTTGCCAGCCCAAAAGCCAGTTTTCCCTCCAGAACTGTATCAAACAGACAGGATCTCATTTGGGAACAGGAAGATTTACCTTTAGAGGGGCAGAGGAGAAGGGGTATCCAGAGACCCGAGGCCTGAGGGTGCCCTTTGTGTCTCCCCACAGGTGACGCACTGACTTGGCAGATGTTGCCCTGCTCGACGTAGGACCCAAGTGGCTTGGGCCGAGGATGAGCAAACCGACAGACCTGCAGCACGACCTGGAACGAAGCCTCCCAGCCATCGCGTCCATCAGCACCTCGTTCTCCCAGAGCCAGGGCTTCTCCCCCTACTGCTACTTCTCGCCGGAGAAGAGGAAAGCCATCTCGGACGTGAGGAGGACCTTCTGCCTCTTCGTCACCTTCGACCTGCTCTTCATCTCTTTATTGTGGATAATCGAATTGAATGTAAGTCGGGGGAAGCAGATCCGTGGAGCCTTTGCCCTTGTAAGTTGTGCTTTTTTAACGCAGTTCCCTCTGCGTTAATTGCTCTGTTTCAGAAGTCTTGGCCCAAGTCTTTTGTTTGTTCTTCCCAGCGCTCTGGTGATTTGTGCTGGCCGAGAAGGCGCTGCTCTTAGTGTAAACTAAAGTCCAGCTCGTTTCCTGCAGCCGGGCTCTCTTGTGGCTCTCCAGGGCTGTTAACGCCGTCACGTGGAGTGCTCTGTGTTGTCGTGTAACAAGATCTGGAGCCCCTGGAATCGCCAGGTTGAGCCGTTGGCCAAAATTCTCTCCTGCTCCCCTTGCCTTAAGTGAAGCCGCTCGCTGTGTTTGCCAGGCAGCTGCCAGCTGCGCAGCGTCTTGTTCTCAGAAGAGCGGGGTGGGATGAGCGGACCCTCCTCTCGCCCGCCCAGCTGTTGGGCAAAGACGGAAGGGGCTTTGAGCTTTGGTCCTGGCGTACTGACACTAATCTCAGCTTCCAAGAGCTGGAGGTGCTGCTCAGGGGGGACTAGTGAAGGGGAACACGAGGGCTTTGGTCCTCTCCGAAGTGGCTGCCACACCTCTGCAGGCTGCTGTGTTTACTCAGTGTGTCGACTGTTGCAATGACCAGGGAAATCCAGTTTATTTACCTCAGCCCCATCGGGTCCAAGTTTTTCCCTGGGCTGTACTTTGGTTTGGTTTTTCCTGAACTGGTCCTGACTGGTTTCTGCTGTGGTGACGACGGGTTTAGGGTACTACATGTCCTCCCGAGAGGCCAGATGAACAGACAGACCCCGGCGCTTCTGCGCGCGGCCCTGCCGGTGTCTGGCCTTTATTTATCAGCACTAGATCCTGCGCTCACTTAGCGGCTCTTATCTCTGCCCTGTTTATCTCCTGGGTGGCTGCACTTAACAGATTGTCGTGGCCAGCAGCTCCCTCACCCTGCCCGCTGCGGGCCGGCCGTGCAGTGTCGAGAGCCTGAAGAGACCCCTGCTCCCCCCAGCCTGGGAAAAAGCCCCTCTCTGCCAGCATTCCAGTGCTGCTGATGGTGTCCTGCATGCCTGGCTGGGACCCCGGCCTCCTGCTCGTGTCCCTGTTCACTGGGCTGTCTGAAGATGTGCTGTCTACAAATCCAAAAAAAAAAAAAAATCCAGCCCCCGGGGAGCTAAGCTGCCAGCACGGTCACCAGGGTGATTCTGAGCCCAGGTCTTGCAGGTAGCCATTAATGAGTGACTAACTGCTGATATTTGGGCCCCGAGCTGAGATGCTGCATATTTAAAGCTATTAGGACAGCTTATTTGCCTAGTTATGAAGAGCAACGATTTTATATCATGACTAATGCTTTTTTTATCAAACTGTTTCCTTTGCTGCAAGATAAGCTGAGCAAATTGTCCCTCGTTAAATGTCTGTTGCCTGCAAGCTGTAATTCTGCGAGCTTGGTGCTCTCAGAGAGATGCCTCAGATGGTTCTTCTTCCCCGTCCATGGCAGTGGCCTGTATTTAAACTGAAAACACCTCCCAGAAACCATAATCCTGCCCCGTGTCGCGTTCCTCCTGCAGCATCTCATAGCAGCGTGGGGAAGAGGCTTTCCGTGGCGGCTCAGCAAAGCTGCCTGGCACGAGTCCTGGAGCCGCGGATCAGATAAAGCAATAGTGCAGAACTGCTTTGCCCCCCTCTCCCTGAATGTTAAGCACCAGCCCTGACCTAGAGGGACCGCTTCCCGGTGGCTGCCTCTTCTGTCCTTGGACTGTCTGACAAGAGGGTGCCAGGACACCAGCCTGCCAAGAACTGGCCTGAGATCCACCAACTTGTTTCTCACAGATCATCAAACAGCTGTCAGCCTATACCAGCTTCCAGGCCAGCTGGGCTGCGTTCAAACCAATAGCCTAAAGGTGAAGCATTTGTTCCAGTTACCTGAGCCATTCGCTTCCTCATAAACAGCGATTCCAGGCTCCCGGGAGCAGGATTTATGGTGTCAAAAGTACCAGGGCTGTCAGGCCCCAGATTGTCTCGGGGTGAGGCAAGAGAGAGAGCTCTTCTGTGAGCTTTTTCCGTGCTCCCCTACGATATCCCAGAAAGCGGTTCTGCCTCTTTCAGATTTCCTTGCAGTCTCTCTGTGCCTGTCCCTTGTCCTCCTCTCCTCCCTCGTCCCCTTTGCCAGTACGTTTGAACCCGCTGGTTGACTTCCTCCGTTGGGTTTCCTGGAGGGCAGCTCGGCCTTGCTGTGAGCCCTGGGAAGCCAGCTGGCCTGGAAGAAGGGAGAGGGGACCCCTCGGTGCTTTGCACGAGGACGATGGCAGTTTAAATTCCTCCAGCTTGCTCAGTGACCCCCTGAGAGCCCTGCGGGGGAGATGTTTTGATTGTCCAGCTGGAGACACTTTGTTCAGTGCGTTACTGAAGGTGCTAGAGAAGCATTTTCCTGTGTTTTTTTTCAATTTTTTTTCCACCTCCCCTCCCGTACAGCTGAAGTCTGTCACCTGAAGCCACGCAGGGAAGAGGTGAGCATGAGTGGGAGGTGGTGTCCGACCGAGCGCTTTAGGCTGTGAGCGTTGAGATCCGGTGGTGCCGGATGTGCTGAGCCAGAGGAGCGGCTTCTCGGCGTTGGAAAGCCCCCACGTAGAAGTTTTAATGTACCTTCGTGCTGCTCTGGCTCCCCGGCTCGTGCTCCTCGGTGTGAAACCGAGGGTAAAATGGGCTGTTGTATCCTCCCGGGGTCCTGCCTGCTGCAGGCATTTGTATGCCTGGTGCATAACCTGACCTGGCGGGAACCTCCGGGCACCGCTTGGCCGGTTTCTTTCTACCATTAGTTTCTTATCAGTGCACTCAATAGCTTTCCGCTTTCCTGTCTCCCCTTCAGACCAAGGATGGCATTCAGAAGAACTTGAAGAACGAAATCATCAATTACAATTTCAAAACCTCTTTCTTTGATATATTTGTGAGTATCCCAGGCTTGCTGCAGGTGAGGAAACAGCTTTGGAGCTGGAGGGGGTGGCACGGCTGAAGGCTGGGCAGGGAGGATCTGGGTGCTTGGTGGGGGGGAGCTGGGGTCTCCCTGCAGCCTTGCCCCTCGCCTGGCTCTGTGGAATTGGGCAGGTCACAGCCTTGACCCCGACTGTTGGGACAGCGAGCTCCTCGGGGGCTGGCCCCATTCTGTGTCCTCCCAGCACCTGGCAGAGGGACAAGGGCAGTGACTAGTGTCGATGGCTTTTTGTTTTTAAAGGTCTTGGCTTTCTTTCGGTTTTTTGTGTTGCTGCTGGCCTATGCAGTCGTAAAGCTGCGCCACTGGTGGGTCATAGCGGTAAGAAGGCAATTTTTGCTTTCCTGTTTTTAAGTTTTCCCTCTCTGCCTGGACTTTGCAGGGATCTGAGATACGTACGTTTATTTTTCAGGTCACTACGTTGGTATCCAGTGCCTTCCTGATTGTGAAGGTCATCCTCTCCGAGGTTGGTTTCCTTGGGCTCACAGGGGATTGCTTTGTGATTGCTTGATGCTGCTGTTTTCCCGTTTGTGTAAACTCCCTGTGGTTTCTGCTTTCTTCCACGCAGCTTCTGACCAAAGGGGCTTTCGGCTATTTACTTCCTATCGTCTCGTTTGTCATTGCTTGGCTGGAGACTTGGTTCCTGGATTTTAAAGTCCTAACTCAGGAAGCAGAAGAGGAACGATGTGAGTATTTTGCTCCCCTCTGGTAGGAGTTGGCAGATGAGAGTACCAGGCCTGGGGTTTCTGCTGCTTTGGCAGCACCTTGACAGATCTGACATTTATAGAGAAGTGATCTCTAGGCTGGCTGTGATGGTAAGTGCCTGACTCAATTCTGTTATGGTATATAAGTCCCTTCAGGGGAAGAAAATACCAGATTATAAAAAGCATCTTTTAATTGAGTGGAGGAAAACATGCCAGATTCCCCAATGCCTGGATCCTGAAGCCAGACGTGTTGGAAACAGAGCTCACCTCCACATCGGAGAAAATGTTTTGAAACAGTGGGACAGATGCCAGGCGGGCTGTTGGACTCTCCGTCTCTGGATATCTGTCTTCAGATCTGGGCTGGAGACCTTTCGGGGAGGATTCCTTCAGTCGCAGACGCGTTACGGGGGCGCGGCGTGAGTTACGCTGTGTGAAATTTTACAGCCTCCGGTCGCTGAGGTCAAGACTAAATAGAGGTTGAGTTTGACCTAATGCTTTACAAATTACCCTGCAGTGCCGGGTGGCTGTAACTTCCAGAGGGCCTTCTAGGGAGTAGGTGCTCGGCCTGGACTGGCACGGCTGCCTGATCCTAGAGCGGGAAAAGGAGTTTGTCGCTCTCCCGGGCTTAGCTGACAGCACGTAAACCAAGGGGTGTTTGTCAAGCAGGGCTTGATCAGAAATGCACCGACTGACTGGAAAACACCAGGGGATGTTTGGGTCTTGCAAGGAGGCTTTAAGATGAAAAATGATCAAGTGTTTAATGCCTCTATTGGATTAGGCTCAGGTTCCAAATTGCTTCCAGGGGAAGCTCTTATTTAATTAGATGCTTAATCGCCTTTGGATTTGACAGGCAGAAGAGCCCATTGATCTCCATGCAGATAAAATGTCTGAAACAAAAGATGAGGCAATAGGAGCTGAAAAGCTTGTGGGCTGGCTGGTGCCAGTGCGAAAAGACCGGCTGTATCTGGAAGCAAGTGGCTGGGAGGGTGGATGGGGTGGGCGCCCTGGGACCCCCTGGTTGCTGCGGGTGTAAAACCCCGTGCTCTGGTTCGCAGGGTACCTGGCAGCCCAGGCCGTGGCCTCCCGCAGCTCCCTGCTCTACCCCGGGGCCCTTTCCGAGGGGCAGTTCTACTCCCCACCAGAGTCCTTCGCAGGTAAGATGTGCTCTCCCCCCTCGCTTCCCCGCACTGTTCCTCCTGGGTCTCCTCACCTCCGCAGTCGCCTCCTCCCCGAGCTCCATCTCGTTATCCCGGGCCTTGGCGGGTGGCAGAGCCTCCAAGAACCCGCGCTGCACAGCGGGCTCCCCTCTCCTCGTGCTGTGCCCGGGCAGGGAGGGCACGGCTGGGCTCAGCCCCGCGCTCCTGCCTGCAGCTCTGTGGGAAACTGGAGCCTTTTGAGGTTTGGGGATTAAATGCTCTTAACTGTGGCTGAAGTACTCGGAAAAATGCTGCCCTCGGGATGAGGGCACGGGGGCAAGTTGCCACAAGCAGGTGAGGATAAGGGCTGGCAGCGTGCCCCTGTGCTGTGACACTGCCTCGTGCTGGCTCCGGACACCTCCCCAGCTCGGGAGTGAGGAGACGTCACCCGGAGCCGCTGTCTGGGTGTCGCTGACACCCTGCTCCTGCTCGGCCACGCAGGCGTTTGGGGAGACAGGGCCTGGGCTGTGTCGGGGTCCTCCTTCCTCACAGCCCTTCCCGTCGGACGCTGTCTGTCCCCCACGAGAAGCTCCCAGGGAGATGGTGCAAGCGGGGTCTTCATCACCTGTGTGTTAATTGGGTGCGTTCCCCCCTAGGCTCGGACAACGAGTCGGACGAGGAAGGCGCAGGGAGGAAGGCGCTGACAGCTCAGGTAAGCAGAGGCAGCGTGGCCCCCGGCCGGCTGACCCTGCCCGGTGCCTTCAGGCTGATCCAGGGTCTCTGACAATCCTGCGGGCCCTGTCGGGGTGCTGGACCTCACTTCCCAGCCTTCTGTTCTGGGGACGTGTGGCCGAGGAGCTCTGGGTGTCCCTCGGCACCAGGCCGTTCCCCGTGTGCCCTGGGACCGGTGGCACCGTGACGGCCACAGGAGGGGGGTCCTTTGGGCAACACCCAACACGGAAACCCTTGCCAGGGCCATATGCTCTCCCCTGCAGCGTCCCACAGGGCTGAGATTCCAGCTCTGCCTGTCCCTCTCCCCTCTCCAGTCCCTGGTTAGAGGGTCACGTACCGTGGGCATCGCCTCCACCGTCTCCACTGAACTGTGGCTCGTGGGGCTTCGCCTCCCCCAAGCCCGGCTTGGGCACAAGCTGCTTTCTGCTCTTTTCTGAGCGGTTCTGCTGCCGTTCAGCCCCAGCTCTGGCACCTCCACAGAAGGAAGCTCCGCGCATCCCATCACCCTTTGCCTGCTGGAAACCCTCACGTTAAGGCGGGAGACTCGCTGGTAGCCGCAGCTGGTGTGTGGATACAAGCCAGGGCGGGGAGCGTGACTTTGAGCTCCAAAATGAGGCCTCTGTGACCCAAATTAAGAGATTTCTGCAGTGTGGTGATGGGAGATATCCCCCTTCCCTCTGCCAGCCCTGGGAGGGGGGTTCGCCAGCCTTGTGCACACGCTTCGGGCTTTCTGCAAACCCAGCTAATGAAATGCTCCCTCCCCTCCTAGGAGAAGGAGTATGTCCGACAAGGCAAAGACGCCATGGAGGTTGTGGACCAAATCCTCGCCCAGGAGGAGAACTGGAAGTTCGAGAAAAACAATGCAAGTGTCCCCCCCGCCCCACCTGCCGGGCAGCGCTGGCGGCAGAGAGCACGGATGGCTTAGCAAAAACGGGAGGACAAATGAGGCTTTTGAAACCTCCTTGCGACATGAAAAATTAACAAGCGTTACAATTACCTGATTGAATTAGGAATCTATTCCAGTTCAGTTAAATGTAAAATCCCCTCTTATTTAATTAGACGTTTAATTGCCTTCTTGTTTGACAGGAGAGAGCCCATCACTCCTCCCTCTGGACGGCGGGCGGGCAGGGGCGGGCGGCTCACCTTTGGGAGGCCACACCTTTCTGGCCACCTTTGGCCCACCTGGGAGCAGCAAAGTGGGGCACGACCTGCTCCTGCCACCCTCAAAGCTGTTTATGTCCCCCCCTTCCCCAGGTCAGGGACCTTGTGGGTGCTGGAGTGTAAATCAGGAATGTGTTTCTTCCTTACATCTTTCCATGGTGGCTTTGCCAAAGGGCTCTGGCTGCCCCTTGTGCCCCGCACAGAGGCACACAAAGGCAAAGCAGACCCTGCTCTGCTTCATTCCTCACCGTGCTGGTTCATTCCCTGAACTGCAGGAGAGTTTTCTGGGGTACCTAGAGCCCCTTCCTCTCTCTGAAGGCTGGAGAGAAAGGGGCAGCCTCTCTGCCCTCTAAACCCAGCCTTGCTTTCTGCTTGTGGGCTCGCAACACGATTGGGGTGAGAGTCCTGCAAACTGCAGTCTCATCTGGTGTTTAAAATTCCCCTGTCAAGTGATCCATTGTCTGATGCCAAACTAGCTGGGCAGATTGTTTTCTTTATCCAAAGGGGGATGGATTTAAATAGACTAATCAGAGTTTAACACAGAGCTAATGATGAAAGGTTATCATCTGTCCATCCCTAACCCCCCCAGGGAACCTCTTCTCAGATGTAGGTAACACCAGCAGTGTTGGCAAACTCGCCCCTTTCCCTTACCCTGGTGCTGGTAGCTTGCTACAAAGAGAATTTGACCTTGACGTGGAGTTTGCAGGCTGGCACGGGGCGGTTTCTTTTTCTGTCTCATCCCTGCTGCCGCTCTGGATATTGTTTTGTTGATGGAAATTTGTGCGTGTGTGCGTCTGAAACGTGTCCGGTGCGGTTCACGTGCTGGGGTCACCGTCGGGGGGCCAGGGCCGGGGGGGGAACGTGTGAGGGCTGGAGAGGGTCCCTCGGGACGCCGCCGCGAGGCGGGACGGCTCCTGCAGCCGCAGCGTTTGCAGCTGACTTTACCCCAGACAGAAGCTCTCCCTTTTGCTAACATAAACGTGACTTTCTTATTTCTCGCACAGGACTTTGGGGACGTTGTTTACACTTTTGAAATACCTTTCCACGGCAAGACCTTTATTTTAAAGGTAAGACCCTTCCCGGATCACTTCCTTAGGCTGCGTGGTTTGGGCGAGGAGCGACAGCTCTGCTGGGAGCCCCAACTCAGCTTTCACACCCCTCCTGGCCCTGGCAGGACAGGTCAGGCAGCAGAGCACGCTCTCTTTGCTCGAGACAGATGAACTGCTCAGCGCGCTCTAGGGAATCTCTCCAGGAAAGCCCCTTGGCTGGCAGACAAACTCCCCAGCAAATATGCTGGGCCCCAGTCTCCGCTGGTAGAAGTGGGAGCAGGTGACTGCAAGACTCGCTTCCAACCCCAGCATCTAGGACTAATCTGACCAAGGAGGCTAATTGGAACTAATTGCCAGCAAGACCAGGGCTGAGCGTGCGTCTGCTGCTGCCTGGCATGGAGAAGAGCTGCTCGGAAGTGCCTTGCTCCGTGCCCTCGCTGGAGTGGCTTGGCTGTAAACCATGCTTTAATGAAGCATTGGTGCTGCGGTGGCTTTTCTTTGTTCCAGTGCATATGTTGCCTCGCTGGCAGGAGCTGCCAATGGAGCAGCTCTGTATCCGCGAGGAAAAGCTGGATAGTCCCACTTTACTGCATTAACCGTTTGCCTCCAAAGATCCCCCGTCCCACCGGGACGTGGAGAAATGAATCTTGTCTGTGCTGGAGCTCAGAAAGGGCTTTTCAGCAACTTCCCGAAGCAATCACGCAGGCAGCAGAACCGCTGATAAAAGTGAGGTGAGGGTGGGAGAGGAGCCAGCCCCGAGGTCTGTCTGTCTGGCCGTGTTACAGACAGACACTTGCTCTCTCTTCCAGCAGCAGGGACGTCAGGCAGCACTTCAGCGACTGCTGAAGCCTGAGGTCTGCTCTCCGACTCCCCGTGTGCCCTCCAGGCCCCCCCTGGAGCAACAGCACCGTGGCAGGGGGGTGACAGCCGTGGCTTTGCTCCCCTCCTGTGTTATTCCAGTTGTTCTTTGTGAGCTGCCCTGCGTTCCTTAAAAATAATCTTAGCAAAGTGGAGCGGGGGGACTGGCTAACTGCTCTGGCTCTGTCCTCAGGCTTTCCTGCAGTGCTCTGCTGAAACAGTTTACCAGGAGGTTATTCTCCAGCCTGAGAAGATGATCCTGTGGAACAGAACAGTGGCAGCTTGCCAGGTGAGCGTGCCGGACAAAGATGGCTTAATCACAGGAGCTCCTTGGAGCGGAGAGTTGGAGCTTCCCAGTCCAACACCGGCTGTCGGCGGTGCCCAGGCCCTACTGGAGCTTAGCTGGATCCGAGTCACCGAGGCGTTAAATCTCCGCCGCTCATCCGTACGATCCGAATGCTCCGCGGTAGCCAGCTGCATGCGTGTGCCCATCCAAAAGCCCATGAGGTGGGCAGGGAGACGGGCCAGCAGCTGAGCCAAACCTGCTTTTGCTTGGTGGGGTTTGTGCCATTGCCGTGGCGGGGATCCGGAGGCAAAGGCTGCGCCCCCGGAAAGGCGGAGGCACCAGTCGCAGAGCAGGGGACAGACCTGTGCGCCCGCTGCCAAGGGGCTCGTCCCCCTCGGCCCCGGATCAGACACTCTGGTTGCTTTGAATCCTACTGCTGTTTTAGGGGAGGGTCCAGCTGTTGGCAACTGTGACCTGCAGGCACGGTCTGAGGAAATCTCTCTTCTTTTTATTCATTTTCCCCCCTCCCGCCCCCTCCCCAGATCTTGCAGCGGGTTGAAGACAACACGATCATCTCCTACGACGTGGCAGCTGGGGCTGCAGGCGGTGTTGTCTCCCCAAGGTCAGTTTATTCCACTGTCTCGTTTGTGCTGAGCCCCTGAACGCTCTCCTAGAACACGGAGAGAAGCCTCTGCCTGTGGTGAGAGCACTCTGCTCCCCCCCCACCCCAGCTCTGCCCCCTTCCCTGCCCGGGAGCTCCCGGTGTCGGCGGGGCAGGGCTGCCTGTGCAGGTCACACTCCCAAAGTCAAGGAGCCCCTAAACCTCCTCCAGATGTTTCTGGCAGGAGCCTCAGAGCTCAAAATCTGCCTGGGTTGCTCTTCCCCTAACAGTGGGGTGCTGGGCTTTGTCCCTGTGGGCTGTGTCTCTGCCGGAGCTGCTCCTCCAAAGTCCCGCGCGCGGTCTAGAGCGGCCGGTGCCATTTCTTTATTTCTTTGCTTAGGGATTTCGTGAACGTGCGCCGGATCGAGAGGAGAAGAGACAGGTACATTTCCTCAGGGATGTCGACCACGCACAGCCTCAAGCCTCCGCTCTCCAAGTATGTCAGGTAAGAGGCAGGTTTGATTTTTTTTTTTTTAATTTTTTTTTTTTTTTTAGCTGGTATCTGACACACACGCTTTGCTTAAGCTTAGGGCAAAGAGCCACTTAAATGAAAACCCTGCTGTCTTCCTGGCAGCGTTTGCAGGAAGCTAATCTATTTGTGGAACTAAACCTTGCTTCCCTTGTTCTTCTTCCTTTGTTAAAGAAACTCTCCGTGCTGTTCAGCGTTGCTCGGGCGTTTCCCAGCTCAGGGGAGTGGAGGTGCCGACCAGTAACAGCACAAACCCCAACCCGGGCCGCATCCTGTTTATGTAACAGTTAATTCCCAAACAGGGCCAGCTGCCATTTCTGAGGGGCAGTAAACAGCTGACTGTGGCTCGCTCTGAGCTTCTCACATGCCTTTTGCTTCTCGTAAGCCAGTCGCTTACTGACTTTAAAGGCTGAGGACACTGGGAGATGGTCCCGTGGGCGAAACGAGCTGCGTCAGGATGGACGAGCTCCCAGAGTGTCGGCAGGTCCCTGGCCTCTCCCCTTCCGAAGGGACAGCTTTGCCCGGCTGGTGATGGATCTCAGCGGGGTTAGTTTCATCAAACAAGGACTCCTTGTTACTGTCTGCTCCGGTGCCTGGGGCCCAGCTGTGCCAATTCACGCACTGACTTTGTTTTTCCTAATAATCTGGTTAAAGTAATTGACATTTTAACTCAGAGCCGTTATAGCTGCCTCAGTCTATTTAAGTGCCGGGGACTTCAGGGCCTAGAAAAATCTTTTTACAAATGTATGCAGCAAAAATAGCATGTTCCTGAACAGGGAAGGGAAATCTGTATTTGGGCTGTGTGTGTGAGCACAGCTCTTCTCTCTGAGACGGATCAGATGGTGCGAGGAAGGATCTGGGGGCTGCAGCGACAGGGCTCCCTGCGCCGAGCCTGTCCTGGCCGCCCAGGGTTTCCCTGGCCGCTCGCCTTTTCCTGGGACCTCTTGTTTGCACCCATTTCCACGGGGGTTGTGCCTCGGAAACCTTCCCCGCGGCGAAGCGTCGGCGGGGCTGGCACGGTCCGGAGGCAGAGGCAGCTTCTCAGCCGGCGGCCCTGGCACCGCCGCTGCCAAGGCACCTGTGGGAAACCTGCCCCGCCGCGCTCGCTCGTGTGCCCGCAGCCAAAGCAGGTCCCTTCCCGGGTGCTCTGCGCATCTGCTCCTGCCCTGCTGGGCGCTCGGCCTCGCTGCCAGGCGCAGGGGGTGGCTGCTGCTGCAGGAACTAGCGCAGGATTGACGCGGCGCACCCCAGAGCGCTAAAAAAAAAAAACATAAAACAAAACCCAAAACAAAACCAAACGGCTTTTCAGCCGGCTCCGGCTCTGACTGTGCGCTCTTGATTCCCCGCAGGGGTGAGAACGGGCCCGGAGGATTCATCGTACTGAAATGTCCCAGCAACCCCAGGGTCTGCACCTTCATCTGGATTCTCAACACGGACCTGAAGGTAAAAGCAGTTTGTTGCTGATGCGCCAGTGCTGCGGCCGCCTCCCGTCCCCGGCAGAGCTCAGCAGCGGGCTCCGGCATCCCCCGCGTGGCGCAGGCTGCGTGCTGAGGACCCGCTCTCCGCTCCCAGCGGCTCCGGCCCCGCTCCTGAAAGCGGCTCATTATCAACAGCTGCCCTAAGGGGCCTCGGGTTTTACTAGTGGAGGTTGAACTCGACTTGACAAATCACCCTCTTTCCCCCTGAAGCTGCCCCAGGCAGGGTGGGGAGGCTCTTCCTTACCTGGCAGAGATCTTGTTGAGGGGTTTCACCTCTCTGGGACTGGGGGAGAGAGGAGATTTTTATCCTCTTTGGGGGCTGAAAACAGTGGGGCATGGGGAGTGTTGTCTGGCTGTTTGCTCCTCCCCAGAACCCGCCGAAGGGGTGATTCACCCACGGTACCTGTACCCTGGTACCGACACGGCCCCCCCGGCGCGCGTGGGGCTGCGTCCGTGCCCAGGGAAAGGCGCTTCGGCCCTGGGAGCTGCCCCAGGTCGGGAGCTGTTGGCGCGTCGAGTCCTCGCTGGCGGCCCAGACAAAAGGCAGCGAAGGGAGCCGGGGTCGGGCGGATGAGGCGGGGAGGGGGGAGCCGAGCTGGCCCGTTTTCTTCCTCCGCTGAAGGTTGACGTGGTAACGGGTGCTGCAGCAGC